TAACTTTTGCTCAACATTTAAGGGGAACTGTGTTACCCTGCGATCATCTTCATTACACTTGAAAACTTGTACTATACCTCCGTCCGTCTACTTATTAAATGGAATAACATGACAAGATTCTATCTACTGGTTTTTTGATCAAGGGATGATTTGGTGTTGTGAGAAGATTCTCTATGCTTCTGAGTCTGTTAAATTGCAACTGGACACACATACCCACACACAGTTTGTTCATTTGTTCTCAGAATGAGAATAATGTCTTTTACAATTAAAAAGTTTTTTTTCTTGATGTCACTGAAGGCTGTGTTAGAAATATATGCAGCTCATTAAAAGGAAAAGTAACTGATGTAACCAAAAGCCTGAACACAGGAGAATAGAGACACCTGCCAAGATAAAGACCTGGAGCTTTTGCTCCTTTTCAGAGTCACTCCCATGGAATAGGCCGGATGATTTACTAGCTTCTCTTACCTTCTCTGCAGACAATGTTTAATATGAGCTTCAAGAGGTCTCTGCCCCTAACGGGTTTGCTTTCACTTAGTAAAAATGCATAATTTTTCTGAATAAGATTATTAAGAGGCCACCCATAGGGTGGAACGTTGGTTATGTAATGTAACCCCAGATTCTATGAGTATAGCGTAGCTCTTTGAGCAATCGCCTTTTGGATTAATTCCATCCCCTTAACTGCGCAGATTGGATCAGCGGTGATCGGCGAGCAGTGCATGCCGGTTAGATTTGTGTCCAACTTGATGCCGACTTGCTCTGACGTCAGTAGGCAACGATAACCTTGTGAGATCAAGGTGGCCGCAGATTTTGGAGCAAGGCGCTGCAGTTCTTCTCCCTTGGCTGCAAAACCCAGGGCATGGGAAACGCCTGGCTCTCACCTGATCTAAGATCTGATTGGTTCATATTTTGATCCAAACATCCGGTGGTAGAACATGAAATGTTAGTTGTTCACATGTATTCTGTAAATCATGTAACGTTAATGATGACAACTATATAGGCTTTAAAGAGAAATCTGTTTTGTGTTCTTTTGTCACGTTTCCTATGAGCACACTAAACCTACAGCTGATAACCTTTACTTATTATTACGGTCATGTCTTCATATACAATATATGATATCCAGAAGCACGTGAGGATGTGTTTCAGCTGCTAACAGGCACCAGAATTAAAATTTTAAATGCATCTTTAAATTTTGGGCAATGAGCTCTGGCACATAATAAACAGAAATACTGCTTCATCATTTCATGTACCTTTGAATCTACAGTTGGTCTTATTTAAAAATGTTTTTTTTTAATTAAAACTATCATAGCTGGAGTGTTAAAAAAATAAAAGTGCCGTAAGATATTTGGAAGTTGTTATTTTATTTCTATTACCCAACAGTTATCCAATTCATGTTTGTTCTGTTTTTGTTTTGTTTTTTTCCTCTAGGAATCATTGAGGCGTGACATCCTTCAGAGGTTTTACGATCGACTCTTCAGCCATCGTCACCCCCGAGCTACACATGTAGGGAAATTGTGTCCGACTTATGCGCACAGCAGATCTGTTCCTTAACATAAGGAGCCATATGATTGGCTGAAAGCGAACAGCCCTGGCAGAATCATTTATTTGATTGACAGGTTCATTAGCCAATGGTGACGTTTGTTGACCTGCGACGTTAGGAGAGTCTCAAAATTCAGCACACCAATTTCTCTCACGAATGCAGGAAGGTTCACAAATGAGAAGCTGTTCGTAAATGCACATTCAGGAATTCGTATCATCTGTGAGTTTATATTACAAGTCAATCCATCCATTTTCTGAACCCGCTTTGTCCACACAGGGTCGCGGGGGGGCTGGTGCCTATCTCCAGCGGTCAATGAGCAAGCAGGCGGGGTACACCCTGGACAGAGAGCCAGTCCATCGCAGGGCAACACAGAGACACACAGGACAAACAATCATGCACACACACACTCACACCTAAGGACAATTTGGACAGACCAATCAACCTAACAGTCATGTTTTTGGACCGTGGGAGGAAGCTGGAGTACCCAGAGAGAACCCACGCATGCACAGGGAGAACATGCAAACTCCATGCAGAAAGATCCCAGGCCGGGAAGCGAACCCAGGACCTTCTTGCTACAAGGCAACAGCTCTAACCACTCTGCCACTGTGCAGCCTTTATATTACAAGTGTTCTTACAAATTATATTTGTGAACCACAGAGTGTGAACTTCAGAATTAGCGTGTGCATTTGTGGAAAATGTTGCGTGACTTATTTTTTCACATTATATTTATGAGTCAAAGAGTGTGAATTTCCGAATGAGCGTGTGCATTTGTGTTCCTCCGAATTATATTTGTGAAACACAGAATGTGGATTTCCGAATGAACGTGTGCATTTGTGGAAAACGTTGTGTGACTTAATTCTTATTGAGACTGTTCTGGCCTCATACACCATTGACTTTGGACTGGACTTGGACTTGATTGTCTTTGAGTCGAGACTTGACTGAAAAGACTTGCGACTTACTTGTGACTTGCAAAGCAGTGACTTGGTCATACGTCTGCTAATTCACATCATCACACTGCAAGCATGTCAGACATGATACAACTGATTCAATTTGTGGGCAAACCTTTTTGGTGGAAATATAAGGTGTGAAGAATCCGTCCACGAGTTCCAGAAGAAAATTCACAATTTCTTAAAAACACAAAACAGCTCAAGTCACACTGAGGAAGAGTATTCACTGCTGGCCAAATTGTTGAAACAACGATGGTTCTACTTCCTGCTTTTTTTTTTATCTTGCATGTTGCTGGAATCGGATTGAAAGTATCTTTATCTGTTGGAATCAGGAATTTGAGGAGCCTTTCCTCTCCTTTCTGTCTCCCTCCTCCCTTGCAGGTGGATCAATGGGATGGTCAGTTAACTCTGTGCTCCCCCTGCTGGTGTCACACCTGTCCTCAGTCTGCCCACCAGCTGCTCCAGTATATCTGTGTGGCACTGTCATACTGTTCCCTTGCTTTGAATGTAGCGTAAAAATTAGTTTTCATTGCAAAAACAGATTTTTGAACATCCACTAAAATTTCCTCAAGTGTGACCAGGACAAAACCTCTCTGTGACGTTCCCCTTAGAAATGGCTTTCTCACTCCCAACCAACACCCCCGCTGATTTTTCTGCATTGATAGAGGTTATACTATATTAAACATCTAGAGTGTAAACTTACCTTTGCATCTAAAAACAAACCCAGTGGGGGTTTGCATTTGCAGAGTTGGGTGACTTGTTTCTTTTTCTCTCTCTCTCCTCTATGGGCTGGCTGTTTGATTCAGTGCACGAAAAGCCTCGTGGGAGAGAACGAGTCCCCCCCCCCCCCCCCCCCACCACCACCACCACCACCATTCCCAACCAGGAGAACTGAGGGCTTAGCGCTTATTTGGGGTATCCTGCCACCATTACAGTCACATATCCAGTCCAAGATAGTGGGTTCCCTATTGGTTTAATGCAGTGGTTCTCAATAGGCAACAACCCCCAGTCCAGACCTTTTGCTTCTGGGTCTTTCTTTTGAGTGGCCCTCAGACCATTATAATTGAGGACCCCTGTTTTAATGCATTTCAGAGACTTTTTAACATGGATGAAATTGTCCCTCATTCTTCTCCTCCTCTTCATGCGATCGGCACCTCTAATACCATGTTTCTCATCATTTCCATCCACGAATAAGATGCTTGCTGCATACCTTTGTACTCCTTCAGTAACGGGTGAATTATTGTTTATACTTTCCTGTGACACGTTCTTCGATCTGTTCAGTGTCTGCTGCTAAATATCTTATTTTTGAGGGGGCAATGGCGGTGCTGTTGACTAACTAAAAGGAAGCGGCGTCCTGACAAATCACAAGTTTGAGGTCTCTGTCACTGTCGATGGATAGTTAAAAAGTTAGGCATGTCTCCGCCAGCCTCTGCAAGCCCGTTGGAGAACCCCTGTGCATCATGGCGTTGCGTGTCTCCGTACCCACGCAGACGGAGGAATATAAATTAGGCTTAAGAGAGAGTACAGCATGCCTCGGCTAGTAGAAGCTAACTGTTAGCATTAGCAGCTCCACAACATGGCAGAACACATTTAAGCTTGTGTTATTTGTGGAGATGAATCAAAATTGAACAGATGCATCGGAAGAATCGCTTTGCTGTTAACTAATCAGAGTTGAGATGTTCACATATCATGAACCATAATGAATGAGACAAATCCTGCCTTTTTCCACCCCCACTCCTCTGACTGACTCCACTACCTGAAACAGGAGCGCCAGAGCTTTTTTTTTTTTTTACAGAAAAAGCCTAACAAAGCTTTTATTCACACAAGAGATCGCATCTTATTTACCGAGATAACGAGAATATGAACGCTTTAAATATTACGCTGGTTTAAGATTAATGTTCACAAAACACAACAAAACCTTAAAATGCTGAACAAAACATTTTCTATAGTCCAGCATTGTTTCATTTTCATAAACGGTGTTAGGATATTTAGACACCAGGCCATAATCCAGAAGCCTTCTTCACACTGTACTGTTGGTACACACACCTGCCTGATGACCTCATGAATGAGCTGTGCTCTGATCCCACAGTTGGACACACTTTAGAAGAAAGTTCTGATACTTTTGGACTGTCATGGTGTCATGGTCTGTGCTGAGCTAACACCTGTTTGTGCTGAGTCCTTCTGTGTGCAGGTGGGTGTGTCCGGAGAGCAGCTGCTGTTGATCTCCTCATCAGTGGTCAGGGGATTTAAGGAGTGTCGGAACAACACATCAGCGTTGGATGATTACTCAGTATTGGGTAGTATTCTCGCCAGAACCTTGCCTGTCTTGTGTTATCTCCTGTTTACCTCGCTTCTATCGTGTTAATCTGCCCTGTTACCTCCGACCTCCTCAGGTACCTTCCATTCATCTGCCAACTTCCATCATCAAGCAATAGACTCACCGGACCAATCCTGCTCACCAGCCCGTCGCTCGCCCCGACCGCCTGCTCTCCAACCCCCACCTGCCATCAGGACACCCTGGACTCCGGTGCTCAGCTCCCAGCCATTTCCTCTGCCTTGATGTGCCCTCCTCTCAAACTCTCCCTAACTACCAGGAAACCGTAAGACAAACTCTCATTATCTTTTGTGCCCGTTGTCCTGCGACTACTCACTCTGGTTTTCTACTTCAGAACTTCATCAGAACCTCCCGAATCCCCATCTACATCTGCATCACTCATCCAACTTAAATAAATAATTTTTACATACCTTGCCTGTTGTGTGATTCTGCATGTCGTGGGTCAAAAAACTTCAACCCAACATGACACATGGGTGCTTATTTGGATATTTTTAGACTAAATAAATTTTATTGGGATTTTAATTACATGTTAATTATTCTGCTCTAATTGTGCGAGTTGTCCGTTGGACGGTCCATTCATGAACCGGACACCTTCAACTGGTAAAGCCTCTAAAACACAAGAGCTCACTCCTGGCTCTTGATGTGTGTTACCTGGTTCTCTTCCACCCACAGTGTCGTATTGCTCTGCTGTAACAAATACCCAGAGGATGAGAGTAACGGACAAAAAAGAAAGATGAAGAAGAGGGTAGTTGCATGCTGTGCCTCAGAGTAGGGGCATGGCTCAGCAGGCTCGGTGGTGTCCCCTCGATGCTGGCTGGTTTTTGATGTGAAAACTTGGAGTGGGCTTGGTTTTTAATGTAATGCAACTTTGAAGATGGAGTGTTTGAAGTTATGCATGAATTGCACTCATTTCCAACTTCTTCCTGATTTGTTTTTGTCCCCCCACCCCCCACTCCCTACCATCTCTTTCTTCTTCTGGAGCCTAACACAAGTTATGTGTTTGAAGTGAAGGAATGTTTCAAGGGTATCTTACAGAAGCGGCTATTGTGGTTGTGGTCTTTGTGGTGCTCATGCCTTAATTATATCTCTTAACTTACTCTTACTGCTGTTTCCTCAGCAGAATTTATAGCCTCATGCCAAACTAATATCTTTCTAAGTTTGCATGAAGGAACTTTTATAGACGAAGTGTCAAGGTCAGTTAGAGGCTTCAGTGGGACGTCTAAAACTGACCTATTCGGATTTCCTTAAAGAGGACATGTTATTAAAATCTTTTTTTTTTTGCATTGGTTTTGCTACATTTGGGTCAACACTGACTTTATAAACACTTAAAACATGAATAAAACTATTTTTGTCAGATTATAGTGTCAGGAATCGTGCTTCTATCATATTCTATGCGTTCTATTGTTTCTGTTGACAAGTTCAAGAGTGAGCTTAAGACTCATATATTTGTCCAGGCATTTGTCTAGTTATTTTAGGGCTGTTTTGTTTTCTGTGTGATCTTGGCTTTTTATGATATGTTTTTATTTATTTTTATAAATTGTTTTTATTCATAGTTTTTATTTTCTCATTTCTTGTTTAAACTTTTAAAATGTTGTCAAGCACCTTGTAGCTTATGCCTGGGAAAGGTGCTATACAAATAAAGTTTACTTTCTTACTTACTATGCCCCGTTCTGATGTCACAATAAAGACAATCAGAATTACTGGGTTTCACATGACGTTTCATCTATGTCACCAACTGCAGATGGGGTCCGGAAGTAGCCGGTGCTGAACATAACTCTATTTATTTTGGTCATTTGACGTTAAAAATGCCAAAATTCCATGTGGTCTACTTTATTACAATCACTCTAATGCAGTGGTTCCCATACTTATTTAGCCGCGCACCCCCTTCTATGTCCCGACCATGTCGACCCCCCCCCCCCCCCCCCCCCCACATCGGGGCATGGCTATAAATATATATATATATATATATATATATATATATATATATGTGTATATATATATATGTATATGTATATATATATATATATATGTATATGTATGTATATATATATATATATATATATAATGTATATGTATATGTATATATATCAGATGTCAAGCTAAACAGACAGGGTTAAAAAAAATTCCCCATCACTTTCATTTTTTAAATAGTAATTAATAAACATTCAATACCATCACAATTTCCTTTGATTTAATTTTAAATACATATTTAGAGTGCCCAGGTAGCACATAAACAATGCAATTTAACGGTTTTCTTAAAGTAGGAACGTTTAACCTGTGCGGCCAGAGCGCTCTCCTTCCTTCTGCTCTGCGTAAACCTGAGCTGATCACCTACTTGTGCGTAATCAAATGTCTATAGGGGACAAGATATAGCCATGATGTTCACTTTTACCTCAGACTGACTTATTGCTGTTTTATGGTGTGGCTGAATCTGCGATCCGCTGCCACGCTGACTGGAACAACAAATGCTGCAGTAACAGGACTTGTGGTCAGGTTCATGAGGAGTCACTGGCTGGAGCGGACCCGACTCATCCCAGAAGCTAATATCTTAATTTGACCTTGAATGAAAAATAACCTCTTAAAAGTTTTTATCACGGTGGAGGCAGCGTTCATTTCTGCCTTCAGTCTGACTGCGCGCCGGAGTTAAAGCAGCGTGCGCGCTTATTGAATCTGTGTGCACAGCCGCTCAAGTCACCGCATCTCGTTATTGGCGCTATTTAAACTTCTGCCCAGCCCAGATGTGCTCACATGTGCACCCGTGAGCCGTGGTTCCGCTGGAACGCGTCTGACCTCTGACAGACGTACTCTGAACTTCAGATCTTCAGCGCGCTGTTAATAGCCTGAATGGGAATCATTTCTTGTTATTTAGTTACATCCACAATGTTCTGTGTGTGAGGTTTACAATGTCAGAACACCTGCATGAGACAGGTGTTAATTACAATCTGCCAGAATGACTCACCACCTTCAGATTTCTCCAACACCGTTAAAAATGATCAAATACGGAACATATCGGCGTGCGCAGGCCAGAGTGCTGAAGCTCGGCGCATTATTATTATGAAGCTAGGGCACATGTGGAGGACACGCGCGCGCGCAAAAATATACTTGTTTTCAATTACATTTATTGGGCCCACTTACTTTTTCTTTGGCCCACCCACAAATGAGTTTCTACGTTAATGGTGACATGACAGACTTCTCTGAGCTCTGCAGCCATTACACTTTTCACCTCGCGCACCCCCCCCAGGGGTGCGCACACCACACTTTGGGAATCCCTGCTCTAATGGGACAAAGACAAAAAATATTTTCAAGTCTGAATGTAGTGCGTTACAAAGGACTTCATTTAAAAATACCTACTGAAAGAAGACGGCAGAAGTGGATCAGTCAGGGCTGTTGCTAGCTATTTTGGTGCCCTAAGCACAAAGGCTTCGTGGTGCCCCCCCCCCCCCCCCCCCACACACACACACACATACAGAAAAAACAACACAATAACACAGTATGTGCAAGCGCTTTGCCTTAAATTCTCTTAAATTCTCTTGTATGCACACACTGCTTATTATTTTCCAAAAAGTAGGATTGATATTTAGTGTGTGTGTGTGTGTGTGTGTGTGTGTGTGTGTGTGGGGGGGGGTCATGTTGCCTTGGCCCCCAAAATGTCTTGAAACGGCCCTGGGTGTGTGGCTGAGTTTTGAAGGTGATCTGAATTGTATCAGATGTATAAATATTACATGTGTATAACTTATTGTTTTATACTGGTAAAAACGTGTAGTGGAGATAAATCTACCGACATTTTACTTTTCAACACTTTGTTTTGTTTTCTTGTCTTTATTTAACTATTTTCCTGTCCTGTCTGTCACTCATCTTCCTGCATCTCCTCTAAACTCTTCAGAAAATCTGCTGCCTGGATTCTTACTTTTTCACTTCATCAGTTACTTCTGAGCAGATCAAAGGGAAAATAGAGAACATGTGCGGACATGAACGATCGTGTGTTAATTTTGGTTGCGCCACTTTGAGAATGGACCGTGCGCTGGAAGCAGCTGCCTGGATCGCTGCGCAACAACGCAGCGCTGTGTCGCTGTCTGTGCTCTCTGCTCCAAAGAGTCCATAAATGATGTAATATAGGTAGAACACTTTTTTCCAGCTCCCCTGGATGCGTAGGATATACAGCTCCCCCATAATTCGATCCCTGCTCCTGGATGAAGAGCCGGACATTTTCATCAATAAGAACCCCCAGTCCGGACGTCCCGGACAGAGTGAAAAGTGGACACGGTCCATCTCCTTTCCTTTTTCTATTGTTTTCTCTGTGTAAACATGCTGTTAACTTGCTTTGCACATCTTCTAATTGAAATCTGTCTTCATCATATATATATTATTTTTTCATAAGCTTGCGTTTGGTGCCCCTTCCCTGGCGTGGTGCCCTACGCGCTGTGGGTAGTGTGCGTGTGCGGAGCGCCGGCGCTGGGATCAGTAATCTACGGCTTAAAACAGGAGCTGAAACGGACAATGCTGGAGTCTACAGCGATCACTTTCTAACAGATAAGAGATTACTGAGTGTTTTATTAAGCCGTTGCTTAGGAACAGCCATTAAAAATGACAGGTTAACAGTTTATTGCTGTTCACATGTCCTCGCTGCAAATAGCTTCCAGAGTGCTAATGTTTTTAGCAGCTAGCTAAGCGTTGTAACGTGGCATTTATACGTTATTGAAATCAAACAAATGTATCATTAATTTGGATTTAAAAAGGCATTAAAAATTTGTTACAAGTAGATCCTAGCCTATACTCATCATTAGCATTAGCGATAGCATTATTATCATGAGTTAATGAAAAAATAGCACAATTCACTACCAAGCAAAAACAAGACGACAGTCATTTAAAGCGTCTCTGGTTCAATATAAGGTTAACCAATCTGAAACTAAATAGCTGTAGGCTTCCAGGCTTGTAAAAGGCTTTCATTTGTTTTGCAGAGGAAGGCAGAAAGAGTTTGTTTTGCTGATCACTTCAGCGCTCTCATAGTGCTAATGTTTTTAGCGGGTAGCTTAGCGTTGTAAGGTGGCATTTATACCTTATTAAAATCAAACAAACCAACAAGAATTTTGGATTTAAAAAGGCATAAAAAGTTAGCTACAAGTAGTTCCTAGCACATACTGATCGTTAGCCTTATTATCATGAGTTAATGAAAAAATAGAGCAACTCACTACTTATCCAAGAAAAAACAATCGCCATTTAAAGCTTCTCCAGATCACTAAAAGGTTAAACAACCTGAAATAAAGTAGTTGTAGGTTGCCAGGCTTGTAAAAGGCTTTTGTTTGGTTTGCGGTATAACATGAGAAAGGCAGCACAAGGTTTGTTGCTGGTCATTTCAGCGCTGGGTAAATCCTCCACAGTGTATGAAAAGTGCAACTTTTAAAACTATAT